AATCACTGTGCAGCAGCTCCTCCTCCCAGACTGGGCGGGTCTCCAATCCTGAGTGCCTAAGGCCTTCTCTTGTGTCTAGTCACTTCCCCACTTTTCCTCAAGCCAGGCCCCACTCACCGGTGACACTCACCACAATACTGGCTACACGCCAGGTCTGCTGTTCCTGGGAGCCCTGTTTTCATGAACGCCTGGGCATACTTTCCCTGTTTGCCTCCCTCAGACCCTAAGTTTGTAGAGCTTGGGGCTGAGAACCCCCAGCGAATTTGCTTGCCCTCTGGTAGCCACGCTCCTGGTAGCTGGTGCAAGAGACCTCAGTTGTCAGCACTGGTGGGAGCGGTAGCCAGGAGTTCCACGCCTCGAGTCCCGCACCACTCCTGATTCCCTCCGTATGGCTATCGTGCTCATGGGAGAGCTGGGATTACACACATGTCGCCCGCTGGTTTCAATGAAGTTCTCTCCTCTGCCCGTGACGTCAGTTCTCTGCCATGGTGGTATCCCATGCAAATGGTGACCGTTCGTTCCCTTTGCCGGGTGACCAATGCAACGGGTGGGTCCTGACTGTCTCTCCCAAGCCCCGTTTTAATCCTGTGGCCACTGCCAGCTATGAAGCCTCGGTTGGCTTTTACCTCTGTAAGTTTAGAAGAGCCGACCAGTTATTTCAGCGGGATCGTTAGTGCTGAGTCACGAGAAGCAGGCGAACCGGAGCTTGAATGCAGCCGATCCGGGCTCGGTGTGTGTTCTGAGAGGCCCAAACTGTTGGCCCCAGATCAACGTCAGCTTTGCATTGCCTAGTGATCCTGAGCAAACAGCATTTAGACAGTTTACGACTCCCTATGCCCGCGCAGCTGGAGAGGTCAGAGACTTGATCTCTCTGCGCCCGCCGCCATGTTGGATCCGTTGTCCATAATCATATATCAGATAAGACACAGAGCTGGGACTTATAACTTTTCACTTCAAGACCTTGGCTTTGCCCATTAAGTCTCAAGTACTTTTTGTGTCATAAGGTATCATTGTCGTATTTTCTTACCTGGGTTCAGTCACAGAGCAATTTTATTCAGTGGTCTAATGTCTGAATTATAACACTAATGTGAAAAGAGCTGCTAATAATCACTAGCAGGAATCACCTGCCAACCACTTTGGGGCCAGCTAGTTAACTCCAGCACTACAATTTGATCTGCCAATATAGTGATTCCCAGATTTCAATGAACATTAAAATAATCATCTAGAGAGCTTTAAGAAAATCTCAATACCCACCCCCAAAAAAAGAAAAGAAAAGAAATGGTTGGAAACATTAAATCTGTCTGAACAAAGATTAAAAAACAAAAAAATCTCAATATCCCAGTTGCATTCCACAGTAATTAAATCAGAATGTTTGTGGTGATAACCAGGCATTGGTGGTTTTTGTTTTGTATTTTGTTTTAAGAGAACCTCAGATGATTTCAGTATGCATCAAAAATTAGAAACCAGTTTATGGTGTATTAAAGGAAGTATGTAGCCAGTGGCACACACCTATAATCGCAGCTATTTGGGAGGCTGAGGCAGGAGGAATGCAAGTTCGAGACTAGCCTGTGCAACTTAGTGAGACCCTGTCTCAAAATAATTTTTTTTTTAAAGGAGGTATGTGGCTAACACTGCAGCTGCAAGAGTTTAGAGAGACTTTTTCCTTCCTGTTAACAACTACAACTTTTTAAAAAAAATTTTTTTTTTATTTTTAGGTGCATACACCTTTATCTTATTTTTATGTGGTGCTGAGGATCGAATCCAGTGCCTCACACATGCCAGGCGAGCGCGCCACCACTTGAGCCACATCCCAAGCCCCAACAACTACAACTCTTAATTGTGCCCCTTTGAGTCTCAATTATAGGATCACCTAAGACCAAAAATAGAATAGTTCCTCTTCGTCCCTTTTCTTAAAAACGGTTGCTTTCACAGTTTTTGTGAGTTCACTGTATTCTCTCCTATTCTATGAATCATAAGTGATTAGCAGTTTTCTTGGTGAAAGACTAGATAGTAAATATTTTAGGCATTGATCATTATTAGAGTCTTTTCTTTCTTTTTTGGAGGGGGGGGAAGCATAGTAGACATTGAACTAAGAGGCATTCGACCACTAAGACACATCCGCAGCCCTATTTTATATTTTATTTAGAGACAGGGTCTCACTGAGTTGCTTAGCGCCTCGCTTTTGCTGAGGCTGGCTTTGAACTCACAATCCTTCTGTCTCAGCCTCCCTAGCTGCTGGGATTACAGGAGTGCACCACCACACCTGGTTTGTTGGAGTCTTTATACAATTATTCAACTTTACTTTTGTACATCAAAAGACAAAATAAATGTGTATGGTCATGTTCTAATAAAACACCTTATCTTACAAAAAGAGGTTGTGTGCAAGAAGTATAACTCAGAGTAGAGCTCTTGCCTAGTATGCATAAAACCCTGGTTTGATCCCCAGCACCACGCACACAAAAAAAGCAGGTTGTGGGTATGATCCAAGAGTTGAGTTTATGGACCCTGCCATAAGCATTTCAGATATTTCACTTGTGGATAATTGAAATCTAGAGTTATTTGCCATCTTCTGGCACCACAGGCCCAGTCTCACTATGTCCCTGAGTTACCTTAGAGGTTCTAGAGTGACCCTTCTTGGAGCACAGGGTCTGGTGCATAACTTCTGGGCTTCATTATCTGTGACTCTTCTCCTACATTGTTGGGAAACCAGTGTTAGAAGAGATCCACTGAGGATGGGCAAAACCACATTCATCTGAATCCCTGAATCTGTGCACACTCAAAATTCTTCCTTTTTATTTTTTGGTGCTAGAGATGAAACCGAGGGCCTTACCCATGCTGGGCAAGTACCCTCCCAGTGAGCTACATCTCAGCCCTATTCTTCTGTTCTGAAGCAACTGGTCTGATAAATACCCAACTCCTGTGTCCAGCTTATTTGCTATTAGTAATGGCTATAAAGCTATACTCTCCAGTATGGTACCATTTAGCCATGTATGGCTACTGAAATTTATATTTAAATTATTATAGTTAAATAAAATCTAAAATTGAATTATTCAGTTGACTAATCACATTGTAAATAGTTGATAGCCATATGTGGTTGGTGGCTCCTGTATTAGGCAGTGCAAATGTACAGCATTTCCACATTTGCAGGCACTTCTACCAGACACTGTTGCTCTGCATTTTGTTAAGTCATAAGTCTTGAAGAGCTCTAACTTTGGAACTTAAAATTACTAATTTTTAACCTCTTTATTCCTTTAACCAAGACTGATATTTCTATTAAAGTAAAAAGGTAATATTTTGTTTTAAAGGAAGTGAGATTCATGGTATCAAGAAAGTGACTAAGAACTACTGGTCATATACATTGGAAACTTTATTGTGGGATGTTATAAAATTGCTTCATAAAATGGTGGGGACGGTGGAAATTCCATTTATTGAGTAACTTGTATGTGTTAGGCACTAAGTGCTTTGTAGTTGAAGCTCAGAAAAGTTAAATACTAAGTAAGTGGCTGGCCCTGGTATTTGAATCCAAACCTTTGTGATGACTTAAGACCTTTGCTTTCCTAGTATACTGTGCTGCTTCAAGTTTACCAAAGACTATGGTAGGTATTTTACCTATTTTAATCTCAGGAAGCTATAATTCCCTAAAGATGTTATGTTAATGTTTGTTTGCTTGTTTGTTTTGCAATGCTGGGTATAGAACTCAAAGGTTATGCTGACTTAAATGAGAAAAGTACCAATCTTCCTTCAAATAAGAAATCTGGCTTAGCTTTTTTTTTTTTTCCTTAGGAGACATGTGGGAGAATAAAAATACCAGAATAAAAATGTTAAAATCCTAGTATAATTCTGTGGATACATCTTACCAGAATTTCTATGGAATACTGAGATCTCATTTATATAATTTTGTATTATAAATTGCCAATTTGATGAATGGTCAGATTACAGGTTTGTTTGAAGGTTAGTTTTACAAGACAATGCTACAGATTCTGATATCATTTGAGAATTTATAAGACTACTTTTATCAAATTGTCCTTCCAGGAATCAGTTTAACAGGGATTAGGACAAATTGGTAAAATTTAGGAATATTCTCACAATCTTCATTTTGCACAAGAATATAAAATTGTCTTTTGAATATTTTCAGTTTAACAATTTGTCAAAATTCTTTAAAATAGATTTTGACATAGGAAAAGATTGCACTCTTTGTAGCTGCAGAGCAGAGGGGATATGACTACCATTTCTTTCTGAGACTCCATTTGTTAATTATGATTATTTGATTTTTAGACCAGCATCTAGAATTTCATGTATTGGCATTAAAAACACAAAGCTGATATGCAGAAAACAGGAAAAAAGATAAATAGGATTTCATTTAGTAACAGTACAACAATGTTAGAATTTATCTAGCATGGACAAGCTCTATAATAGACTTCTAATTATTTTTTTTATTTGATGATATGGTGCTTATTTTTGTGTACAGAAGGCAGGTGCTGAGCCCGTACTGTGACACGCTCAGAAGTAATCCATTGCAATTAACTTGCAGACAAGACCAGAGAGCAGTTGCAGTGTGTAATTTGCAGAAGTTTCCTAAACCTTTGCCACCAGAATATCAGGTAACACATGTTTTCAGCACAATTTTAGGAATCATATTTTTAAGAAGTCATCTCCATTTTGACTTCAGAGAGTAAATTCCCCAAAGCCAAGTGCTATGGCACATGCCTATAATCCCAGGGACTCTGGAGGTAGCTTCAGCAATTTTGCTCTACCTGCCATTTTCAGAGTAATCTTAAATCAGAAATGATGTCTCAGAAGCTAATTTTAAATGATAGCTGCTAATTTTGAGCTTCCTACATATATTTATGACCACACTGAGTGCTTCAGACACCATAAGATGGCAACTGTATTTTTTTTTTTTTTTTTTTTTTGGTACCAGGATGTGAACTCAGGGACACTCAATCACTCACTGCGTGCCACCCCCACATCCACATCCCCAGCCCTATTTGTATTTTATGTAGAGACAGGGTCTCACTGAGTTGCTTAGCATCTCGCCTTTGCTGAGGCTGGCTTTGCACTTGGGATCCTTCTGCCTCAGCCTCCTAAGCCACTGGGATTACAGGTGTGTGCTACTGCACCTGACATGGTAACTGTATTCCTAAGCATAGCTTTATAACTCATAAGTTGTTGTAAAATGTAAAATGTGAAATAGTTAGGCTTATCTGATACCTTCTTCTTTGGTATTCAGAGTTTTTTTTATATATTTAATTTATTTTCTCAATTTTTATTTTTTCAAAACAGCACATCAGTTAAGCCTCCTAAAAACACCTGTACATTTTATTTGTTTGTCTTTGCAACAGGGTCACACTATATTGCCCAGGTTAGTCTTGAACTCTTGGGTTTAAGCAATCCTCCTGTCTCAGCCTCCCCAATAGATAGGACTATAGGTGTGTACATCACCTGACACTTTATATTTAAAGTGTCTTAATTCTATGCATTTGTTTTATGTTTTTTCAATTATTAAAGCTCTTCCTTTTGCTGTCAAATTCTCTTTTTTAAAACATTGATCAAGTTTGTCCTCCTAAGAGATGTTGAATTAATTTATTTATCTTGCTTATTTTTAAACAATAGCAACTTCAAAATACCCTTCCTATGGCATATTATATCTTCTTTGTGTTATGCAGTTTATGAAAAAAACTACACTAATATCTTGTGTTATACAGCATTAGAGAGTTGTTATAAGTAGCCAGCCTATGGACTTTATTTTGATTATGCAGAATGACTCTTAATCTCTTGTCTTATAATATTTTTTAATTTTTGCAGTACTTTGATGAACTCAGTGGAATACCTACAGAAGATTTGCCTTATTATGGTGGGTCAGTAGAAATTGCTGACTATTGCCCTTTCAGTCAGGAATTCAGTTGGCATTTAAGTGGTGAATATCAACGCAGCTCAGATTGTAGAATATTAGAAAATCAACCAGGTTAGTAGTCTAGTTAAATCAAGTATTAAATACACAATAAGATCGTGTATCAGCAAAATAAAATAGTGGTGAAGGGCACAATCCTGGAACCAGCCTGTCTGAGTTTGTGTTTTAGTTTCACTGCTATTCATCAGTGAAAAGTCATTTAACTTTCCTGTGCCTGTTTCTTCATCTGTATAATGGGAATAATAATACCTGACTCATAGAATTGTTTTGAGAATTATATAAATAAAATAATAATTGCATAGAACTATGCTGGCTCATAAAGAGGATTGTTATCTGTTAGATACATGAATTCATGTGCACACACTGCATTTTAGCAATACCTTACATCTTCGTGGCAATTTTCACTTATAAAGCACTTTTCATTATGTATCATTTCCTTTTATTTTTCTAAAAACCTAATGAGAGACATAAGAGAGATATTATTGTATTTCATTGGTGAATGAACAGACATCAAGTAATATAGTTAATTGATATCAGTGTAAGACCCTCTGGTATTGGGTTGGTTTCCCCCCCACCACCATTTTGTTTTTGAATCAGGTTGTTTTTATTAAAATGCCTTAGGTAACCTATTTTTTTTTCTTTCATAGGAAGTGTGCATTTTATGTAGTTTAGAAGTAACACAACATGTCATTCTGTAGATCTCAAAATAATACTGTTGCCCCATGGCCTGTAAGATATATTACTAAAGTCATGCCGGTAATCCCAATAACTTGGGAGGCTGAAAAGACATCAAAGGAATAAACTATATGGTGATTTAGTATTTTTTAATACCTTTATTTTATTTATTTTAATATAGTGCTGAGGATTGAACCCAGGCCTCACATGTGCTAGGCAAGCACTCTACTGCTGATCCACAAACCCAGCTCCTAGTATTTTGAAATAGTAGTTATAGCTCATACAATATTCTCACATCTGATATGTTAATAAAAAGCAATAGTTTTTCTCTGTGTTTTTAAAGTTTTTAACATTGTCTTCCCCCACTCCCAACACTATTCACTCCTTTATTATAGATTTGGTCATTTAAACTTCAAATTTCTACAATGTTTTTACAAATTATTCTGAAACCTGACAGGTTTAACTATATTTCTACAGTCTTGTTTTCCCATCACTCATCTATTTAATTCATGTCCTGAAGACTTAATATAACTACTCAGAAGTCCCATGTTAAAGCAAAAGAAATACACAGATCTGTCAATTGTGGGTTTTCCAGAGATAACCATTTTAGAGCTGGAGTTGGCAAACGTTTCTTTGTGAAGGGCAAAATATAAATATTTCAGGCTTTGCCATTCATCTGGTCTCTGTAGCAGGTGCTGTGCTTCTACAGTGTAAAATTAATATGTAAACAACATTATATGTAAGCAATATTATACATAATATAAACATATATTTTATAAACAATATTAAGTGTGTGAGGGTTTCAGGATTTGGGCTGAGGATTATGGTTTGCTTAACCCTATTTTGCTTACTGATCACAAGCTTTTTTTGTTTGTTTTTTGTTTTTTTCAATGGTACTGGTAATTCCAGGGGTGTTCTACTACTAAGCTACAACACAACCCTTTTGATTTATTTATATATTTTAGCGTTATTTTTGTTTTTTATAAAAGGTCTCTCCAGGGGCCAGGTTGTGGCCCAATGGTAGAGTGCTTACCTAGCATGTGTGAGACACTGGGTTCTAGCCTCAGCACCACATAAAAATTAATAAATAAAATAAAGATATTGTGTTCACCTATAACTAAAAAGATTTTTTTAAAAAAGGTCTCTCCAAGTTGCCAAGTCTGGCCTCAAACTTGCAATCCTCCTACCTCAGTCTCCTGAGTATCTGGGATTAGAGACATGGAACACCACTATGCTTTTTGAAGACTTTGAAACTCATAAATAAAAGAAATATAGAGTTCTGCTTTGTATTTTATTTCTTAGCTCATATAATTAATATTTTTAAAAAACTGACATAAAAAATTTATTTCAAAATGGACTACTTGAACTCTCTACTTTAAAAAAATGAAGCTTGTATAAAGAGAGTACACTATTACTAGGGTTTGCCCATTAGGTTCATTCGGTACTGTACCTCTGCATGTGTATGTTTAGAATGAGACTAGATAGATCAGCATGTTATTTATGACTTTACCAGAGGTGGCACAAATTGAAGTTTTTTTTAAAAAAAGCTGCAAAACCCAAAAAACCCTTCATTATATAAATCATTTGGCCTCATCCTGTCATGAGTCACTTGGATATAACTCCTTACTTAGGCCAGTGATTCTTTTTTTTTGTTTGTTTGTTTTATTGGCACACATTAATTATACAGAATGATGGGTTTTGTTTGTGGCATATTTGTACATGCATACAATATACTTTGATAATTTTCAATCCCCCATTATACCCTTTGCCTGTCTCCTTCTTTTTATATGTATGTATATATATTTTTACACACACGTATGTATGTATATATTTAGTTGTAGATGGACACGATGCCTTTATTTTATTTATTTATTTTTATGTGGTAACCCAGTGCCTCACACATGATAGGCAAGTGGTCTACCACTGAGCCACAACCCCTTTCCACTTATTTTTCTCTAATAGTCTCCCATTTACATTCTGTAGTTCTTATTTTGGTATCTAATCATTTAATGATTCTTAGTGTCAAGTCCTTAGTATATTTAACCTAGATACTTTCAGCCTACTTTTATTCTCTTATTTCTGATATATAGTAATTCTACCATGCTAGTTCCTTTATGACAATTCATTTTGAATTTAAAATCCTATTTATTTTAAATTTTTATTTAAAATGTCCATTTAAAAAGTTTGATTTGGAGCTGGGGTTGTGGCAGCGGTAGAGCGCTCGCCTCGCACGTGCGAGACCCTGGGTTCGATCCTTAGGACCCCATAAAAAATAAATAAATAAGTGAAATAAAGGTGTTGTGTCCAACTACAACTAAAAAATAAATATCTAAAAAAATAAAATAGGGGCTGGGTATGTGGCTCAAGCGGTAGCGCCCTCGCCTGGCATGCATGCGGCCCGGGTTCGATCCTCAGCACCACATACAAAGATGTTGTGTCCGCCAAGAACTAAAAAATAAATATTAAAAAAAAAATTCTCTCTCTCTCTCTCTCTCTCTCTCTCTCTCTCTCTCCCATTATCTTTAAAAAAAAAAAAAAGATTTTCTTCCTTCCTTCCTCCTTCCCCTGCTCTCTTTCTTAAAAAATAAATAAATAAATAAATAAAAATAAAATAAATAAAAGGTTTGATTTTCTTAAAGCAGCTTTTAATTATAAAATAGAATGCTTCAATTTCTTATTCTTTGTATTAAAAAATCTAATTTGAGACTCCTGGTTTGCTTCAGAAATTTTTAAAAACTATGGTGCCGAAAAGTATGGACCCCATTCAGTTTGTCTAATCCAGAAGTCGGCATTTGTCATGGAAAAGTGTGAGAGGAAGCTGAGTTACCCAGACTGGGGAAGTGGATGTTATCAGGTAAAGTACATGTTTTTAATAATTATGCTAAATATTATATAATTTTTATCTTGTGGTCTTTTATATTTGAAATTATATTTTATGCATTTTTAGATACATAATTTACTGATGGATAATTTAGCTTATTTTGATTATTTATGTAATTATTAGTTTGGTGCTTGTGTTTTGTGAAAATATTTTTATTTCTTTGAGGAAGAATTTGCCTTTCTACATTTGTTTAACAGTAGATATAATTGCAGCCACGTGCAATGGTTCATGCCTGTAATCCCAAAGATTGAGGAGGCTGAGGCAGGAGGATCACAAGTTCAAGGCCAGCCTTGATAACTTAGCAAGACCCTGTCTCAAAATAAAAAATTGAAGGGGGATGTGGCTTAGTGCAGAGTGCCCCCTGGGTTCAATCCCTACTACAACCCCCTATCAAAAAAGAATACATATGTATATGTAAAATATCTATATATTAATAAGTTTCATAATATTTTTGCTTCTGAGCATAATGAGGAAGTAATGATAAAGATTAAATTTTGTTCTTGAACAAATGTTTTATATTGGAAGAAATGTAAAATTTTATTTCAAGAGGTCTGAGGAAAGCATGAGTTATAAGAATTAAAAAACTAATTGTTGATTAATAGTTTTTTATATAGTTCATGCTTTTTATATAGCTCACTGGTGGAGCACTTACCTAATATGAGATAGGCTTTGAGTTTAATCCTCAGCCTTCCAAAGAAAACAAAAAACTGAGATTAGAAAGCCAAATGGCAGTGCATTCTACTGTCATATATAACTAATTAGTAAAAAAATAAATAAAAATTTTAAAAAAGAAAAAAAATTTTAAAGTAATCTAAATGGCCAAACTACTACTTTCCCAATTATTTATATATCTGATATTGATTGACTGTCACCTTTTTAAGAACTGATCAAGATACAGGAATTCTGTAACTTAGGGGTATCCAACTTAATTTTCCATATCAGGAAGGATAATGTGATCCTGAGAACTGAAGAATAAGCATTGTGCCATTTCCACTACAAGAGTTAGATGGTCCTTTGTAACTAGGAATTTTGCAATTATTTTTAAAGTTGACTATGAAATTTAATTTTTTTGGTAACAGCTTTAGTAATATATATTTTATTTAATTTCATTTAATTCATATAGCATTAAAGTCTTACAAAGAAAATTAGAAATAAATATTTTCTAGCTGTAATGTGACAACTGGAATCCAGGAATCATGTTCTAATAAATCCCATTAAAGATGTATGCATTGAGGGCTGGGGCTGGGGCTCAGCGGTAGAGCACTCGCCTGGCATGTGTGAGGCACTGGGTTTGGTTCTCAGCACAGCATGTGGATAAATTAAATAAATAAATAAAGGCCTATCAACAACTTAAAAACAATTTTAAAAAGATGTATGTATTGAACACTTTGTTGAACATATTGTTGGTGGGACTGCAGACTAATAAACCACTTTGGAAAACAGTTTTGAGGGTCCTCAAAAAAAAAAAAAAAAACAGGGATGGAATCACCATGTGACTCAGCTATCCCATTCCTGGGTATTTTCCCGAAAGATCTAAAGTTGGCATAATACAACAACAAAGCCACATCAATGTTTACAGCAGCACAATTCAAAATAGCTAAATTGTGGAATCAACCCAATCAATAGATGAGTGGATTAAGACAATGTGGTACATATATAAATATAATGGAGTTCTTCTCAGTCATTTAAAAGAATGAAATTATGGCATTTGCAAGTATATGGATGGATATGGAGAATATCATGTTAAATTAGTCAAACTCAGAAACTCCAAGGTTGGATGTTTACTCTCATATGTAGAAGCTAGAGTGAAATGAAAGAAAGGGGGAGGGAAGGATAAGATTATGTAAAGAACCAATCAAATACAATTTAATAGAGAGCTAAATAAAGTCTATTAGAATAGAAGGATAAGTGGGGGAAGATGGGAGGGAAAAGACGGAACCATGAACTGAAGTAGATTTTCATGCATGTATGAGTTTATTGGGAATGAACCCAACAACTGTGTATAACTATAAAGCTCTAATTAAAAAAAAAATAGTATGTAGTTCTGACTTAGTTAAAATCATGGTATGTAATTTTGTCTTACTGGCTTCACTTAATACTGGGGGGGGGCCCAGTGAATACTAGGATTGAACCCAGGTCCTCATGTGTGCTAAACAAGTGCTCTAGTACTTTTAATAGGGGGTACCTCTTCCTTTCCATTAATAATGTTTATTGTTGTTTATGGCTATAGAACATGGCATCATTTTAAAGTATTATAATTAGGAAAGTTACTCTCTTACATATTGAATTTATTTCCATTTTCACCATATAAAAATGCTTTTATAAATATATTTACATTTTTAAAATAAATTCCCATAAGTGAGAATACTGAAGGAGACAAAGCAAGAACAGTGACAAGTATAATAGGAAGGTGACCTTTTTAAGCTCTTTTAATGATTTATAAATCTCAACCACTATGAAGGGATTATATAGACTTACCATGCCATCTGCAAAGATTGGCTCTACTTTCACTGTACCAAAATATTGTCAGTTATTTTTTCTAATTTAATACTAGCACTATTTATGTGGAAAATGTGTTTGATTTCTTAATGATTAACAGTTTGATTAGCTCTTTTGTGTTGGGGGGCTTTGGGGCATTTTTTGTTTATTGGTTTCATGATTGTTGTTTTTATTTATTTTGATTGAAAAACTCTCAGAATGGCACAAAAAAATTTTTTCTGAGTCATTTCATGAAAATTGCAGGCATGCTACCTGCTAAATACTTTCACTCCTAAATACTTTAATTCATATTTCTTATAAACAAGGACCGCCTTCTATATAACAATAATACAGTGTATTTCTTTTCCTCACTCTGCTCATTTGGTAGTATTTAGCTCTTTCACCTTTTCTTCATATTACATTCGCTTCCTAGTTCTCCGTCTTCTCTGTAGTGATTTTGGATAGGTATATTTTCATTATATTTACCTTAAGATGACTATGTAAATGTGAAGCCATGTGTTTTACAATGATTACTTCTCTTATTCTCCCCCCAAAATTTTCCCTCTGGATTTAATAACTAATATCTTGTTTTCTCATTCAGTTTTTCTTTATTTAACACTAATTTAATTCCAAACATTTTTCCTTGGACTCATCTAGTTTCATATAATCAGATGCTTTAGATATTCTATCAGTTTAATCTTTAGAAATAGGTGATTTTCTTATCTACACTAATCTGGATAAAGATAACCTTTAAATTTATAACATAACTGTCCCTTTCCTTCTCCAGTCATGATCATCCTGGGGGTGCCTCTGTCCCTGTCTTATATTGGTTCCCTTACTTCTAGAGTTTTTTTTCCCTTCATTTTAATGGATCATATCCCCTGGTGGATTTTTGAGGAGTATCTGGGAGAGGAGAATTTTAAGACCTCTAGCATATGAAAGTATCACTATCCTGCCCTTATACCTGATGATAGTGTAGGGTAGGCAAGACTCAAGCTGGGCCTGAGGATTAAGTTGGCAAAAGGTACATTTCCAGGAGTAAAGCATATGTGTTTATTTAATAAAAGTTTTATATGAAAGAAGTGGTAAAATCTAGATGCTTTTTTACTAGGTTAAACAAAGAGAAGCAATTATGGAAAAAAAAAGTAAAAGATATGGGGAGGCTAAAGAAGATGAGAATTATTTTAATAGCATTTGTTTGTACTAAAATTTGCTCAACTTTGACTCCCTGTCTCCAGTGATGTTTCTTTTTTCCTGGAATAAGGAAGACATCTTTTTTTAAAAAAATATTTTTTTGCTGTTGATGGATCTTTATTCGAACCCAGTGCCTCACGCATGCTAGGCAGGCATGTAGCTACGCCTGAGCCATAACCCCAGCCCCAGGGAGGACATCTTTGATGTGGGATTTTTATCTCCTACTTTCAAGAAGAGAGGGAGAGTCAGAACACTTTCCTTGTTCTGCTGTTTTTCAAGTGCCTTTAGCTCTAAATAATTGTTATGCCAAAATGGCATATTTGGGGGTGGCATATTCTACTATTCTTCAGTAGTTTGGGCATAGTTTTCTTTTTGAAAATCATTGTCCATCATAATTCTGAAGGAATTTTTCCTTTGCATTTTGGCTCTCAATATCACTGTGGTTTTTTTTAATGTATATAATCTTTTTTTCTTTCCCCTCTGGAAGCTGGTAAATTCTTTTTTTAACTCTTTACTTTTTTAAAGAGTTAAAATTGTAGTGAAGGTAGTGGTCAGAGGCCTTATGTACATACTCAGAGTTTCCAAATTGCTTTTCAGTTGTTCTTCAATATATACAGGCTGTTTAAGAACACCATAAATAGACCTAACTCTTAATAAAATAAACTTTAATCTCTCTAACTGTAGCCTATACTTCTTGATTTCTGGTGCCAGCAATTCCAGGCCTTCCTGTATTCTTCAAATTCCATCATGTTGCTTCTTGGGTTTCCTTGCTGCTGGATTTTGATTCAGCTTGCTTGAGTCTATTAAGTCTTCTACTTGTACTTCTTGTACATCTACTTTGTCTGCTAACACTTAATTCCCAGAATTAGCTTCATCAAGGGAGTTTTCCCATCAACACTCATCTAATTCTCATCTTCTTCCCAAACTGTAACATCTATATGTACCTTACTCTGCTCCAAATCCTTGCTGGGTGTAGTGGTACACACTTGTGATCCCAGTGACTAAGGAAGCTGAGACAGGAGTACCTCAAGTTCAAGGCCAGCCTCCGCAACTTAGCAAGACCCTTTCTCAAATTTTTTAAATAAATAAATAAATAAAAAGGACTGGGGATGTAGCTCAGTGGTAAAGCACCCCGGGTTCAATTCCCAGTACCAAAACAAACAAATGAATGAATCCCATGTCCATCTTAGGGTATAAATGCTTTTTTTAACATGAAAATTTCTAATATTTGTTGCTATTGTTTTTACCATTTTCAATTCTTAATCATAGTCTTTTTAAAAAAATATCTTTATTTTATGTACTTATTTTTTTTTAATGTGGTGCTGAGGATCGAACCCAGCACCTTGCACGTGCCAGGCAAGCACTCTACAGCTGAGCCACAACCCCAGCCCAGTTATATGTTATATCTTTTATCTCAGTTAAAGGTTCAAGAAGTTAAAGGTTCAAGAAGGCTGACACTGTATCATGGACTTCTTTGGTATTCTTTTCAGCACCAAGCATAATGCTCAATCAATTCTTGCTTAAAATAATGATTACTTTGCACTATTGAGTGACAGGACTTAGGGAAAAGGTCACTTTGTAGTTTGTTTTTTGTACTTATTGTAACAAATTTCCAAATTAGTCTTATATTTCAACTTCACTAATGATAGAGTTATTTTTTAAATGACTCATTGTTCAAATGTACTTTTGTAATTCTTCTTTTGAAATTGCCATTTGAAGTAGTTTAATAACTAAGAAAATAAACTTTAATGTTTTCTATTACCCCTATGTTAAATCTTATGTTAACTAGTTTAGACAGCTACATTTATCAGACTTGGTTCTGGGCAGCTTTGGGCTATTTCCATAAATTGCATCTACTTTGGCAAGTAAAAATTTGTTGCCCTCCGACACATTCAGAAGCATTCACTGACATTGAAGGTAGTTCCAAGAAAGAAGTTCCAGAAATATTCAGTGTGAAGTAGCATATTTGAAATTAACATAAAGTCTTTGTAGGAAACGACTTTGAAGAAGACACAGTGATTTTTAAATGTTTTGAAAGTTGTCTTTAATGTGTTTGTTTTTTAACATTAGTTACCCCTGCAGTTGAGATTTGAATCTTGCCTTTCAAGATGTTACTAGTCTAACTAGATACAGTGGCACATACCTGTAATCCCAGCTACTCATGAGGCTGAGGCAGGAGGATCCCAAATTCAAAGCCAGCATCAGCAACTCAGCAAGACCCTGTCTCAAAATAAAAACTTAAAAAGGGCTGGGGAGTAGCTCAGTGATAAAGCTCCCTGGGAATCAATCCCTAGTACCTTTAAAAAAAAAAAAAAAAAAAAAAAAGATGTTACCAATCTGGATAAAATCACCATGACTTTGTATCTCTGAGCAGAAGATCTGGGGTAGGAAGAAAGAATGAAGAACTTTCTCTATGTACATTTCTATATTGTATGCTTTTTTGCTTTACAGTGAATATATATTATTTTAATGATTTAGATAACTAATAAAATTTGACTTACAAAATCTCCTGACTTGTGGAGAGAGGTGAAATGGTTGATGGCTATTTCACAGAGATTTAGGCTGAAGGATGCTGAAAAATATAGAAATATTATTCTTTATAAGTTGGCTTCAGGGTCTGTGAATTCCAGTTGCTGAACTGAGAGTTTAAGAAATACTACCATAGGGCTGGGGATGTGGCTCAAGCGGTAGCGCGCTCGCCTGGTATGCGTGCGACCCGGGTTCGATCCTCAGCACCACATACCAACAAAGATGTTG